AATATAAGTGTAGAAGATGTGAATTTAAGAGGCTTGGTTGCGCTATGATGTCCACAGGGAGAGGCATATCACTTCTACTGTTGAACATGATCTTCAACACACTCATCAACCGTCCCAATAATGACAGTCACTATACAATAGCGTATGCATATAACCTTGTCATTCTGCAAAGAGAGAATTTTGAGAACAGACTCTGTGAAAGAATGCAAGTAGCTCTTAATATTACAGAACAATGGTGCATGTACCATTCATTATCTATCAATCCCAATAAGACAGAAATTGTCCTTTTCACAAGGAAAATGGAATTAAAACCTCTAGAACTTCTAAACACAAAACTAAACTTTGCAACAGAGGTAAACTACCTAGGTCTCACTTTTGACACCAAGTTAACATGGAACTCACACTTACAAAACAGAGTCAAAAGAGCATACCTTGCTTATGAACAATGCCGCTAAATCATAAGGCGTACCTGGGGTTTCTCCACCAGAATTGACTCACACGACCATCATAAGACCTATGCTAACATACGGTGTAGTTTTCTGGGTATCAAAAACCCAAAAATTAACACCTATATGCAATAAATTCAAAGGACAGCATGTCTCAAGATAACAGGAGCTATAAAAACCACACCAAACAGAACGATGAAAGTAATTCTTAATCTTATTCCCTTGATATTTATATCAAGGAGGTTGCTCTGATAACAATGACATGCTTCCGCATGGTTGAAATAGAACCTGAGGTAGGATCTAGTAAGGTGAGATGTCGCTTTTGGCAAAAGGTGCTCGGTACGCTCCCACTACTTCAACCGAACATGGACTCCATCTCACTGAGAAATATCTTCCTTAGGCCATATACAGTTATAACAGATCAAACAGAAGAAGTGAAAGTAGTAGGTACGATTCATATCTACAACCGAACATGGCCTCTATCTCACTGAGACATATCTTCGCTTAGCCATATGCAGTTATAACAAAACAAATAGAAGAACTGAAAGTGGCAGGTACAATTCATATCTACAATGACGGTTCAAAAACAGATCCTTAAAACTTAACATAAAATGGGCTGTGAGCAATAGTGCCACTGTATTTCAAACCGATCTCACGGGGATTATCATAGCAACAAAATAAATCACCAGAAACAATATCGCTAGAAGGAACATGCTCATTTATACAGATAGCAGACAAGCACTACTCGCCCTTAACAGAACACGAATTTACTCAGGATTAGCACTAGACTTCACTAACCAAGAAGGCAACCAACCAAATATGTTTTGGACCTAGCCCTTCTATTAGACTGACAACATCGCTAGTGACAGTGTGAAATTTAAGGAAACAAATACTTGACTAGACAGAATCTGCGACTGATCACATACATTTTGACTGGTCATTGCCAAGTACGGAACCATCTCCCTCTTATGGAGCTGTCAGAATCCGTACTCTGCGGGGGGTGCAAACAAGAAGATGAGACCGTCGAGAATATCCTTTACGATTGTCCGACGCTCTTATTTTTTAAAAGATTTGTGTTTGGCGAGTATCGGCTAACACCGGCCGATATAAGAGAAGCACCTCCTGGCGACGTTGTCAACTACATTATATCTGGCTCACGAGCTAGGAGGTGACTTTTATCTTAGGAGGATGCACAAATAGACCTAGTGAAGCCTAAGTGCTGTAGCGTAACCCACGCTCCACACGTTACAGACAAACAGATAATATAATAAATTGGATTTTTGTATTCCTGTACAAAGTAAAATAATAATATTTTTATTACTATAGTAGTATATTAGTAGTATTTTAATACTTTAGTCTTTTTATAGTTGATTTATTGCTTAATAAAACTATACTAGAACGTGAAACAGGTGTAACTATAAAAAAATAAAATGAAAGATTCTATCTACCATCTTCCTTAGCTACGGACTGTGAAGCTCTGGTTACTCCACGGTTTAGAAGCTTAAATGTTTCTTAATCTTTGGATTTGTGTAAAACTGGTGACTAAAAACAAATCAGGTAGAGTTCATTAGAGTCTGAAATCGAGATCGTCTAATGCTTGCTGATGAATCCTAATAAAGGCGAAACCGGTCCATTATTACATTTTTGTCGAGTTACCACTTTTGTTTATTATCTTTATCAATTAATACATATTTAATAAATTCTTTAAATATTTTCATAATTGTTAATTTTTAATAAATAAGTATAGAGTAATCCACAAAAAAATGTTTTTAAAGTAGACCTTGGAAAAAATAACCTATTCTTCTTCTTTTTAAGCAACATTTGGATTTATTTACAGCGGTTCATAGTCTTTGTCGGTCATGGCCTAAGTTGACGTTTTCCGTGAAATAACATTAAGTGACAGCTTTGTCGCTCGCCTAATTTAAATTAGCTATAACATAATAATATTTCTTTTTAATAAATAATTCGAGAGACGCTAAAATGGTGGTTCCCACCTTATCGAGACTGAGGCCCACAAGGCTAAACTCGTAGCGTAACAAAAACGAGAAATTATTTAACTTGGAACGAAAGACCGAAAGCTGATAGTAATATAAGGACGTTGAATTTTTTGATTTGTGAAGCATTGGCATTAATTAGGTTAAACCATGTGATGATTTCCATAAGCCTTAATATTTATATAATATTAATAAAGGACAAAAGGATGAGTATTGCAACTATGTTAAAAGAAATAAACTGGCTTTCAGTTCAGAATTATGTTCAGTACATGACTGATATTTATTTATAAAATAAAAATGACGTAGTACCATCGCATCAGATCTATTAGAAAAAATTCAATATAATTCGAAATATCACAACTAAAATACAAGAAGCCAATCTGACTTTCATGTATGGCAAGCCATCACTAAAAGTTCGCAAAATACAATTTTTATTGAAGGTTTAAAAAATTTAATAGACTGCCTACAGAAATAAAATAAAAACAATAAATGTATTCAAAAGTAACCACAAACAATACTTCATAAATAAACAGAGTGTATATACTTTTTTGTGATAATACTCTTTAAACCAGCCCTTTTTAAGTGTTCCCCTTAATTTATTGTTATTTTACCCCTCGTTTTACCCGCATTTATTATAAATTACTTGTATTTTGAGATCATGTACTTTATTTTAAAAAATTACTTGATGTTATAATATGTTTAAATTATTAATAGTTTTGCGACGATAGGTTATAGCAACTTATAGCCACAAAACTATTTTTGTGTTAAAGTAGAACCATAGAGAGCAATGTAATTTACAAAGGCCTTCTTTCAACATACAAATAAATGAAAACTTTATAATTAAAATAAAAAACATAACAAAATACCTCGGTTCCAAGGTAAGAAGATTCCATTTTAAATTTTATTTATTGAGGAAATTTATGACTAGAAGTTTACTTATTATTATTTACAATTCACTGGTTGAATATGTAATCCAAAATCGTATAATAAAAATTTTCTACAAAAAAAACAGCATTATATCCTACCTTTGTATAAGAACATTATATTATCTATCTTGCTGTACCTTTATCGAAAGCCTGAATTGAGATATACTACAAATTATTTGCAATACATATCAAAAGAAGTATACATTTTTAAATAATTTGACATTTAAGAGCCATTCACACATCACAATTGACATCTTGATACTTGACAGGCACAGCCAAGCATTATTCTGATTTTTGCCAAATAAAATGGCCGGTTAATTATTCTATGGGGTTGCGACAGAGAGCCAATAAATTTGATGAAGGTGTTTTTGTGGCTAGGGGCGAAATAGTAGTACGCTTAAGTTAGCACCACCATAAAAAAGTCATTTTTAAGGAATTGCTTATATATTTTTCATAAATTGGCAGGCTTGGCTACTGATTTTGAATAAAAATAGCCTCCAAAATGGCTATGATTGCAAGTATGAAGGTCGCAACCCGCCTTAGAAATTTCACCTCTACTATCAACAGCTGTTGTTTGACAGGTCGTTAGAGAATGTTTGCAATTTATGGAATTTTAAGAATATTAGGAATGTTGACTTAGAAATAATTGAAATTCCTAAAATTGTAACATAAGAAATGCATATGTGGATTTTAAGAAAATTGATTATAAAATAGTTAGGATGAACCGAAAATTCTGAAAATCAATAGGGTTCTAAGTTAGAATTGTTCAAGAAAATCAAAACCGCAAGTCAGTCAGAACTTTCATTCTAAAGTTATCGTGCCGGCATACATACATACAGACGACCAGACGAAAATTTTTTTTTTGCATTTTCGGACTCAGAATGATTGGACACATGAAAAAAGTTTTAAAAAATGGGGGTAAGAAAATTTTTTCGTCTACACGAATGCAATACTGAGGCACCATAGGAAGGGCCTCAGTAATTTTCAAGTTATTTGTTCGAAGTTATGTTTTTTTGTTATATTATCTACTTTAAATATCAACTGCTTTTTCATGACTAACGTAGGTATAGGCAACACATTATACACTACTTACGAAAAATCTATTTCTTAACAAATTAGGATCGTGGAAAAAATCTTGTGTGCATTTTGAGCGAAAAGTTCGTTGCCACTTTCGACAGATTGCCTCAAGCGACAAAGTATTACTTTTCGCTTTTAATATACAAATAGCTATTGTGCATCACTATTTACTTTTATCTCTGGTACAACATTGTCAAACGCAGATGGTTTTATTGCAGTCCTTATAATAGCCACTTAATCTGAAACTAGTTGAATTGTATTTGAATACATTATTTTGGTATCGATTTTGAGAATTTCAATTCTGTTGACTTTTTAAGATATTTTCTTTAAATTATGTCGTGTAATATTTTTTGCATTAGATTTGTGTAACTCTTTATTGTTTTTGATTATTAATTGTTTTAAAAGAACGTTGTTTTAATTTATAATAGCTGAATAACCGTCCTGTAATTTAGATTAGTTGTTTTGAATATTTGCTTGTTGTTTTTATTTAATTATCGCATTGAAAAATGTATCTATATGTATCGTATATTTTTACTATGGATTTTTTTTTATTTTAGGTGAAATGAGCGTTGGTTACCTATTCACCAGATACAGGTTTAATTGGGACGAGGTAGATTTCAGCATATTTTCCACTTATAGTATGGTTACCAATTTAATAGGTAAGTTTTATTTCAAATATCTTCTGGAAAAATTCACAAAATACGACACCAAAAATTTACATAAAAATCTCGGAAATATTTTTATGAAATTCCATTCTTTCATTCTTCCATTCTTTTTTAATTGTTTTATGCACCTCTAAAATTCCTATTATTTTTCAGGAACTTCATTTTCAGTTGGAGTTTTCAGCCACATTTTGAAATTCGATGATGCGATAATAGGAATTTACTCATCAATGAGTAAAATTTTATCGAGTTTTGTTTATGGTTTTGCTACTACATCGCTCGTATTTTATTTAGGTAAGAAAAAATTGTTTGTATTTTCGCTGACGGTATTTAAAAAGAAGCTTCAAACATTATTGTACGTAAATTACAGAACAAATAAGTAGGCAATAACAGTCTACTGAAGGGATGTAATTTCAGATCCATTCTAGCAAGGATATTAAATCCATCAATCATAGAATTGTAATTAATAAGTGGGGACATTGCAGCAAAAAATGAGAATAATGCACTATTAGAAATTTTTCAGGAGGGCCAAAAACATGTTTATCATGTTTATCAGCCAGGAAAGTCACCCGATTTGGAACTGAATGATCTCAACCGGCTATTATCAAAATCTCTGGAGTAAAAAGAATTGTATATATATTGAGGGAGCTTAATAATGCTCATACAAGATCTATAATTACATATTAGCAACGAAAAGAGTACCTGTGTCAGTGGATAATAACCAGCCTAGAAGAAAGGGTAATAACATCATTACTAGGTGAAGCTACACTGACAGTTAAAGCAGACAGGGGCTGTTTCCAGGAAGGAATACGGTCACCATCCTTTGGCCAGTTCTAGTGAACAAATTCATAAAAAGGTGAATATTTGCAGACCTCTACTGCTCTAAACATCGTTGACGAGTGGTACAGAGAGGTGGAAATAACAGTAAATCTCTACAAAACAACAATAGTCAACTTCCCAAAACAGGATTAAAGTCGTCGTTACTGACAGGAGTGAAGATTCCATTTGCTCAAAGGGCCATACACTTTGGAGGCATCTTTTACTTCAGGTTAACATGGAACCAACACTGTCGAAAGTTGTATCAAAAAATTGGTGCCTACAACCAACAATGTCCCTTAAAGTAAGACCTATAATAACCTACACATTGGCGGTATGGTGTTCAAAGACTCGGCAAGCCGGAGGTATTCGACAGTTTAATGATATTTAAAGGTAAGCATGCCTCAGCACCTCGGGAGCCATGATAACGACTCCAAAAGTAGCTCTAGAAGTCATACTAAATCTTCACTACATATATTCATTCATAGCGAAACCAGATCTGTCACATGCAGACTGTACAATGGTCCATCACCCATAAGCAGTTTGCATGGACGTGACTACAGCGAGCTGTTGCGAGTTGGAGAATAACTAAATAATGGGAATTCATTTAGATGAACTGCTACCAAAGTATTGCTTTCAAAAGAAATATAAAAAAGTATACCAGACAAGTAAGTATGGACGGGAAGACCTCTTATTTACTCAGAATTCACTAGGTATGTAGACGTCTCCAAAACATATGAAGGTTCAGGACTAGGTATTACCAAGCCAAATACAATAATCTCACAAAGCCACAGCATTCCAGGCAGCAATACATCAAAAAAGTATTAAGACATAAGGTAAATGGAAAAACCATTGCCATATACCCAGACAGTCAAGCGACTTTAAAAGCATTCAGTTCTATACAGGTACGCTTTAAGCTTATGTGAGACTGTTTGAAAGCCCTAACAGGGCTGGGTGATCAAAACAGACTAACCTTAGCCTGGATAACAGGCCACAGAGAACATACAGGCAACGAAGAGGCTTGAGAAGGAGCCTCGAAGGCTCTCATTGGCCCAGAACCCTTCTGTGGTATCACAAAGATAGCTATCAAAATATGCACAAAGCAGTGGATGTTTAAAAAATCTTAGGAATGGTAAAAAAATTTACCAAGATCTTAAAAGGGCCATGGCCTAAACTCACTGAGCCATAATAGGAGAAATACTAGCGTACTAGTAGGTCTATTAACAGGGCTTTGTAGGCTTAACAAACACATGTATAATATTGGTCTGACAGGAGAGATCTTAAGCTGATTCTTCCAGGAAGAGAAGAAAACTCTAGTACACATATTGTGATACTGCGAAGATCTATCAACACTGACATTCCTTATAATTGGAAAAGAAAAACCAAGGGCAACTAGCTATGTCGAAAACTACTTTCTAGTCTATGGAGTCAACTAGAAAAGACCAAACCAAACAAGGTTCTCTAAACAAAGATTAAAGGATATCTACAATAGACCTGAAAAGATCTAGGTGGGGGAGGCTACATGGCTCACAGTCCTAATTAAATCTAATCTACTATATATTAGCTAAACGTACAATAATAAAGAAAATATTTTAAAGACCTGCAGTTTTTTGCAAATCTAAAAAGTTTTGCAGCTATTTTTATTATTGAAACCAAAATCACGAACAAAAAGTGTTTTATAATAATGTTAGTAATGTTCACGCAATATACTTAACTAAAACCAAACTTCTGCACCAAATAAAATAAGAAAACATTTTGTCAAAAAGCCAAACTTTATTTTACTAAATAATGAACCTGTTTACTTGAGGATATCTAACAGTTACCCTAGTTTTGCTTGACCGAAGGTAGATGTCTCAATTTTGATCCAAATGACAACATTCAAATTTATATAATTTACCAATTTGTGCAAATAACTCCATTTGGCCAAAAGTGCAGATAACTCGTTTTTGCTGCAATGTCTGCAATTTGTATAAAAAAAAATATTATTAGGTAGATGTCTATTGAACAACATTTTAAATCAAGAAAATATATATATTCTTCTTTGTTTACGAATTCTTTTTTACTGCCTTTGGAATATTTTTTTGTTATTTCTTTTATCTTTATCAATCGCAGTTTGAAAGTCTAGCTAATTGGTTCCAACCACAGCTATTCAACTAATTAAAAAAAAATAGCAGTATATTGACAAAAGAAATATTTATCGAAGTTAAAATTCCTTTTTAAGACGAATTTAGATAAAAACATTTTACTATTATGCAACATAACTGTATTTTGTGGTACTTCTTTTGTGATTATTGCAAGTGAAATCATTAGCATTAAATAAAGAGAATAAATCTATCCAGTCATAGTTAAGTATTTATTGGCTATAGTGTTGTCAGGATAACTTAAAAGCTCCCTGACAACTCTACAGTTTGTTGTTTGATCTCATCTTTCCTTAAATTTCACAAAAAAAATGTTCTTTAATTAGGTCTGTCACTACCGATTTTCTCAGGCCAATACAAGGACCAGGTCCAAAAAGTATTTGGTTGGCTGCCTTCTTAGATAGTGAATCATCAAGACGGTTACCTTGCGATGTGGTGTGACTTTTAATCCATCTTAAGATGACCACATTGTTGATGGATACTTCGGTCAAAACTTCGTGACCTTCTAGTACTAACCCTGAGTAAATTCGTGGTCTGCTCTGGGTCAGTACTACTTGTCTGCTATCTACCACACCATGAGCCTTATTTTATTTTAGAACCGACGGTGTAGCTACTTCTATTTGTTCTGTCATAACTGTATATGGCCTATGGAAGATAAAACTCGGTGAGACGGAGTCCATGTTCACTTGAAACAGTGGGAGATTGTCGAGGCGCCTCCAACCAAAAGCTCCTGTTATGCTGATACATGCTATTCTTTGAATTTGTTCTAGTTTGCAAATAGCTGTCAATTTTGATGTTTTTGGTACCCAAATAGCATAGGTCTTATGATGGCCGTGTAATTCTACGAGATGACTCTGGGGAAGAAACCAGAGGTGCGCTCCAAGGTTCGATGGCATTGTGCTTAAGCAATTTATGCTCTTTTGACTATTTTCTAAGTACGAGTTCCATGTTAACTTGAAGTCAAAAGTGGGACCTAGGTACTTTACCTCTGTTGCAAAGTTCAGTTTTGTGTTTAAAAGCTCTGGAGGTTATAATTTAATTTTTATCATTGTCCTTGTGAAAAGGATAATTTCTCTCTTCTTGGGATTGATAGATAGTGAATGGTCCTTGAACTACCGTTCTATAATTTTAAGAGCTACTTGTATTCTTTCGCAGAGTATGCTCTCTTAATTCTTTGTTTTCAGAATGACCAGCACCCCTCTCTGTGGACATCTCCTCTCTACCAAGCCTCCTATATTCAGATCTTCTACATTTAAGTTTACTGCTTGCTTTGAAAGCATGTCATGTATCCACCCACTAACCATCTGAGGTTAATAAATATATTATCTCGGGGAAGATGGTTTTATCAAAAGCGCCTTCTGTGTCTATAAAAACACCCAAGGCGGACTCCTTATTGTACAGGGATCTCTCTATCCGGCCAGCAACTTGGCTGAATGCCTGGGGTGTATGCATGTTAATTTGGAAGTAGTAATGTTGTTGTAATCACCAGGTGCAGTGTGTGTTTTTTCAGACCCTACTGAAGTAGGACTGGATAGATACCGTCAGGTCTTGGAAATTTAAATGAAGATAAGCTAGATATTGCCTATCTAATATTGTCAATGTTTACAATGTGTTTAGTAGTTTGCTAATCATAAACAGATGATATTTTTTCTCTGCCCAGTCGGCCATGTCTGTGATGACAGCAGAAGTTTTAAATGTTATCTTCAAAGTTAACAGTTAGCGAGGTTTTGTTCTCTGAGATGGATTTTGTAAGTATCCCAGTCCTCTTTGAGTTTTGTGGTTCTTGCCCCATGAAAGGATTTACTAGTGATCTTCCTGAGGTGATACAACTCGTGACACCATCATGCGGTAGTCGTCTGGTCGTATTGGACCAGCCTCAGGGGACATGATTTCTTATAGGCATTGTCTATTTTGCTTTGGATGGTGCTTGAGTACTTTTCCAAAGCGTTGTTATTGTTTGATGTTTCAGCCTCCACCTCTCTCAGAGCTTCTTGGAGTAGGTGGGCATATGTTGCTCTGTCCGTATTTCTAGGGATCGGAGAGCGTGGAGGTCGGCAAACATCAAGTTTATTTTGAATGCTAACCAGTGGTGGTCTGACATCGAAATGTTATTAGACACTTGCCGGCTTAGAATTGATTTATAGATACCAGTTATGGATAAAGTGATATCTATTAGTGTTTGACTTCTAGAGTTAAAATATGTTGGTGTAGTACCTTTATTTAAAATGCAATGATTTTTGGTAATCATATAATCATAAAGTGACTTACCTCTAGCGTTTTTATCCTTACTGCCCCAACTAAAGTGATGAGCATTTGAGTCGCAACCTATTACCAGCTCAAACTTCTAGTCCAGATAGTATTGAATCAGATTCTCCATCTCTTTACTGGGTGATGGCGTGGTTGCATTGGAGAGGAAATATGGAAATATGGAACATTGTTGGAATAAGTGTGTTTATAGGTCACGTACCTAGTTGTGAAACAATTATCGTATCTTATTTAAGAAATTGGGTTCAAATAAAAATAAATCATTATTTTCTATTATAGGTGCAATCGTTGAAATTTTAAATGGTACTTCATTTATAGCCATGAGATCAATTGCTTCGAAACTTGTACCTACAGATGAACTTGGTAAGTATAATCTAACAAGATAACCATGATGTTAAACAAATCAATAAATAGCAATTTGAAATAGTATCTCAATTGCTCGTATTGAAAAAATGTTAAATGGTAAAGGTTCTTAAAATTGTTTATTCACTTAAAATATTGGATTTTCAATGAAAATTGAATGATAGGTACCTATAATGCAAATGTTAAATAGTTTATGTTGTCAACATATGACTGTCCAGTATATAGAGTATGGCCCAGTTAATCAAAAAGTGTTTAAAATATAAATTAATAGAGCGAGCTTTAGATGGAAGTGAGTAAGCATAATCAATTATTACGCGCCTGGTCTATAAAGATAAAAACTTTCTACATAATATATTATTTGTTACGAAACAATTTCCTTTTTTTCATATCTCTGTTGCCGATGAAAATAATCAGAAAATTAAAATTTTGCAATTTTCAACAAATTTCTTTAATATAGTAGGGATTTTATATGACAAAAATTATAGACATTGCCATCTTTATTAAAAAAAATATTTGCTTCGATCATAAATGACAAAAAATATACGTTAAAGTAGAATAACGATCCTCTATATAGTATCCCCTCTCCAGATGCTCCAACTATGTCCAAAATATAATCTTCCTATCACAAAAATTTAAAATTTTCCTCTTTATCTGTTTTTGAGTTATCTTGGTTACATATACATACACAGACAGACACATAACATCGTTAAAATGGTTATAACGGTTATCTTGCTAGTTACTAAAAAGTGAAACTGACATTTTTGAAATAAATACTGACTCAAAAAATTTAAACTAAAACTCTAAAATCAAAAGTAATGTTGTTTCAAACACTTTTGTGGATGAATAATAAATTAAAAGTAATTTGTATTGAAAATATCTGCGATAAATTAAACTTATTTTTGTTGCTATGCAAACTGTTTATACTAAATCTTATTCCATCTCTATATTCGATTTATGTTCACTTCAAATTATATATTTATATCTCTCTGTCATTTATTATAAATCAGTATGAGAAATTCACTGATCTGTAAAAAATAACCTTGCTTTGAGTTAATAGTTCGTTCATAAGCAATTAACTGAATTCCTTATGAGTAATAATATAATTATACTTGTTTTTAATGGATACAAACCTTTTAAATTAATATACGTTTAGCCATTAAAGTGGTTGATATACAATCATAGTTCTCTTAAGAACAAGAATACCTCTAGTTTTTTTTTAAAAACATTTAGCACAAACCTCTCTATAAAGTTCTTGAAAACCCGTTCGACAACTGTATTCTTGAGAGCAAAATACCAGCCGTAATCCTCAAAACAAAAGAGTTCTATGAGATATGGTTACTCTTAAATGTTTCTAGTCCTTGAACAATCAACAAGAATAATGATCTAGATATCTAAAAGCAGGTATATCCATGGCTTGGACATACAAACAATATAGACAATACTGGAAAGCCAATACTGCTCCAGCCTAATAAAATTACATTTAAAAACCATGTTAAACTATTGCAGGTAAAGTAAACTCTCTCTTTGGTGTATGTGAAGCTCTCATGCCACTTTTGTATGGACCAATGTACAATGCCACGTATGCTGCTACACTTGAAACCATGCCAGGAGCTTTCTACATCCTCGGTGGAGTCCTTACAGTTCCTGCAGTCATCATTTTTGGGTAAAAAACTATTTTAATACTATGAGCCCAAGAGCCCACTGCAAATTTTTACCGTCATCTGATAACGAAATGAAACATACCCGAAATCATGTAAAAATATTATACTTTACCAAAGGGCACCTGTGCCAATCCCAATACTAAGCAAAGTGGCTAAAAAAATTATTTTATATTAATAAAATCAAATAAGACATGACAGCGCTAGTTTTGTTTGCCCTTAAATTTCCAGAAAATAACATATTTAAATATATCTTGATATATATCGTTAAAGGAAAATATTTTCTTCCTCTTAACATTGCACAAAAACATCTATTCACGATTAGTAGGTAAAAATCATTAAAAATATGAATCAATTTTTGCTGATTTAAAAATTTATTTGTATGCCTATTGTTGTGATTCATTTTTACCGGTTGCCATAGAAACGACAAAAAAACGACTATGATTATGGTTTAAAGGAATACAAAAATGAAGCCCCACGTTGGGCGCCATTTTTGTAACGTGATACTTGTTATTTTATCTATTTGTTATAGTGTTTTAAGCTCAATTGATTTTGGGAGTGAGTCAGGTGTTAAATAACTCGAATTACCTGGAAAAAGAAGTTGGGCACCACTATATTTAAAACTTACTGTACTATAGATTAGTGAAAAAATATAGAAAATCACTAACCATTAAGATATTATATTTAAACAAAGTTTTAGATAAGGTAGTAACAAATTCTAATTCACAGAGATTTACTTAATTCAAACTTAGATGATTTATTATCTCTGCAAATGGTTTATACAATGCCATCCTTCTTCCTTTAACACATACACATGGTTTAAAAGGTAGGTAAAAATATTAATAATTCAGGTTTAAAAGCTAGGTTCACAATTAATTAGGATTGTTATTTTCAGGACAAACACAATTGTCGCTGTCATGTCTTATGTGATTTTTTGAATATTAAATAATTTTTTTTAACCACTGCTCAGGATAGGGTTAGGCGCAGGTGCAATTTGGTAAAGCACAATGTTGTTACATGCCTGTGGAGCATATTTCTTCGTTATCAGATTTCGTTTTAGATGACGATGGTCGAAATTTGCAGTGGGTTCTCTTACTATATATTCAATATCACTGTTTTCTTTTTGTTATATGTTATCGCAGAAAAAATATCATTTCTGAAATGTTTCAGATGGATGTATATCCAGAACCGTAAAGCAGCAAAGGCCAAATTAGTGCAAGATACTGAAAAACCTAGCATTGTAACTGATGTAATTATCAACGCAATACCGAAAGAAACCCAAATTGGTGCACCTATAGGTTCGCCGGTACTAAACAACTATAAAAATAGTACAGAAATAAAGGCGAACAGTCTCAAAAATGGTGTGATTAATCCTGCTTTTGAAGAACAAATAAACGTTAAAAACGATAAGAATAAAATTAGCATAGAAAAAGACGCAACCGAAAATGCTATTAATAAAATTGTAAATAATGACATTGTAGAGAATTGTATTAACCACCATACTCATAAAGATATTATAGAAAATGGCATTAATAATACTTATAAAGAGAGTCAAGAAAAAGGTATTAATAATCCCGTTTTTAAAATTGAAGAAAATTAATGATGCCCATGGTGTCGATAGACGTTTTTGTGATAATAAATTTATATATGTACGAGTATACGTCCGAAAAAAGAAAAATTGCGTAAAATTATATTATGCGATAGCCAGGGACTTTTGTTTAAATAATTTATTATAAATAATTACATTAATATCCGTTGTTAATTTTATACAAATATTTTTTTAAAATACAAGATCGTTCTTAGACTTTCTTGATTTAGAGTATCTCTTGTCTTTCTTGTTTTCTTTATACATGGTGTTTCATAGTAGGAGATAGATATTTTAATAGAGGTGGTTTAAAATATACAATACTTAAATGGTCATTCTTTTCGAGTATCATAACTAACGCTTACTATATTTTTTCGTTTAGTATTTGCTATATATGCTTTTCTTGCAGTAACCACACAGAGGACTAGGACTGGAACTAGGACAATAATACTATCCGGAATAAATATCCAGGTCCGTATTAATAAAAATTAATACATTTTTCTTCTCAAAACAACACCCTGCAGATCAAAATGATTAAAATTTTATTTATATAGTTGAAAGTGGCATAAAACTGATTGCAACACTGTACTTTTTAGTATTTCGCCTACATTTTTACTACTCAAAATTGAAGTTTTTAGTATTCGGTTTAAAAATGGAATATGGATGTTGGAGAATTGGGACAATTTTTCGTTTTAGATTTTTGTAATGAATAGTTTCTATTAATATTATTATTATAATAAAATAAAAATACGTACGTATACCTTCCATTAATTGGTAATTATGTATTGCATTTTGGTAAATTGTTGAACAACTAACGTTCCTATTAATATTTTTATGAAGTAATGTTTTTGTACCTTCTCTCCCTTTTACAAGGGAGAGTTGGGTCAAGTGATGGGGAGAAATGCATCCCAAATAAAGACCGCAAAGCCACAAAAATCACTTATAATTCAAAATTACTCTTCACCAAAAACGTATGCTACTGATAATAAAACAAAAACTAAGTCTTTCTTAAAAAGAAAAATCATAATATAAAATATTTGAAAGTGATATTTTAGCAAAAACCTTATTATTTTGACAAAATTATGCCTTAAAGTCTATCATATTGTATTCAATTTAATCATTTTTATTATTTTGAAAAAATTTTGCCTTAAACTCTATTATAATGTCTTCAATTGCAAACGTGCGCTTTTTTTGAACTGGCGGAAAATTAAATTGGAATGTTTTCGTCTAAGAAATTATATTTCTTCTGCTAACCCAACAACTTTTCCTACATAATATATTTCGCTTCTCTTTCCTGTAAATCTAACAATTATTAAATAATCTAATTCCAAAAATGTATCTTCTTGATGCGAACTATTGCTCTCTTTTTCTTCTTCCGAGAACAATCAGAGTCTCCAGATCCTGCCTAAACTATAGGATCATGCTTTTCATCATCGCTGGATGATGAAAATAGCCGTTTTGTTACTTTTTAATGGCTTTCAAACATACACATCCATCCTTTTCTTAATTTTAACAATTATTGAATCTTCAACCTGGGTATTTGTTAAACTTTTCGTTTCAGCAGGCTTGCGCCCTTTATCTTGTTTCTCACGCGCTGCCGATTTTAGGTATGGACAGCCAACAGCTTGTCCAACTTCAGGTATCTAGTTAAGAATGTCTTTGATATGTTATATTTGGTAACAATTTTTCTTAACCCTCCAATATTTTTTATATTCTTCATCGGTCTGCTGTATAATGTGCGTGGGAATATTACAGTTGTATCGTAAGGGAATAGCTGAAAATAAGAAAACAATAATAATAATGTGCCTACAACACCAAAAATTAAAGAAAATACCTTTTTTTTAGGGAGACTTGGGATGTCCCAACTCTCCCAGCAGATCACATTTTACAGACAAAATACGGCACAAACATAACTGTTATTTAAGAATAACATAAAGAAAGTAAAATATACGAAAAAAAAAAACTTACCTTTTGTTATCAAAAACATTTTTCACTAGGTATCTGAGAAGTAGAAAACACCATATATATACGACTATCGCTGCTTAACTGAATGTTAAGATAATAATTTCAAATCTACAAGTATTTGTTTTCACCTTTGGGGTTCGGGGATGGTCTTAATAATTCGTAGGGAGATTAATGAGATTTGTTTCCGAATTTTCAAATTATTTAACATAATAATACTTCATCAGTTTGAAGGTCACTCTCACAGAGGCAACCAAACGCAACAAAATAAGACTGTCCAAATTCTCCCAGAGTACCAAGCCTCCCCCTCCTTCCCTACTAAACAATGAAAATTATTTAATGGAAACATTCTGAACTTTTTATTTGGACAAAAAACTTTTAAATATTTCAAGTTATGTTTTTTGGTAAGGATGACATTTGTCACACGTTTGGTACCAAAAAAAGAAGATCAATAATTTCCACTTTAAATACAAAATAAAAAAAAAACTGAAAATATTATGATTTATGTTTGTAAGCTTACAAAAATATCATTATAACAAATTACTAAATATCAAGAAAATTATATTATTGAAAATTCGTTAAATTAGTTTGTTCCTTCTGTAAAATTATCATTTTTTAGGGCATGTATTTTGTAAATGAAATTACTCAAAAAAAAAAACCAATTCAAAAATACCTGTAAACAGGGCGATTGAAAATGATATATATGTAAATAAAATGTAGTGTAATCTGCAGGGCCGACGAGAGGGGCTGTAGCCGGGACAAATTAATTACAAATTCACATGGGCGAGTGTCACCGAACCACTAAAAGGCCGATAACTGAATACCAGTCTCTGGACACAACTGCGCTACCGAGCCATATCCAAACAATATTTATTAAATAAGTTGAGAATGAGTTTTTATTAAAAGATTTTTATTAACATTAATAATCTATAATATGTCATATTGATACCACTAAAAGAATGTCCAAAAATCTTAAATTTTAGTTTAAAGTTTAAGTATACTATTTAAATTAGCTATTTGTGTTCCTTTTACTCATGTAAATAAATTTTAAATATTTTGATGTCCAGAGTGTTGTTTTAGGTCGAAAAAATGTTTTAATTTTATATTAATACGGATTTGGATATTTATTCTTGCTAGTATATTAGTCGCTTGGTCTCATCAAATATAAAAATGTATAGTAAGGCTAGTTATGATCGCCAAAAGAAATAATCGAAATCCGTAACACTTTGCATCGTAATAAAGTTTAAAACAAAGCAATTAAATACCTCCAAAAGCACTATTTACCATTAAAAATTCTTTCAACTTTGAAACCCTATATTGGAATCACATTCTTAAAGAAAACCAGTCAAACTTCCAGCTATTTGAACCATACCCTAAAAATGCTTTACTTCCAAAAGTCATGTGCTTTGCTAGCAAAGCGATCTTCGACAAAAAAAATCAGTGTCTTTTAAGCAATAAGTTTAAACGTCACAATGGAATTAAAAAAAACACGTTAACTTTAGTTTCAATACAGGTACAATAATAAGCAGGTCAAATTTAAAACCCTTATGAATATATCTTTAAGAAAGTTCATAGGTGGAGGTCAGTGGAAAAGATTGAATGCGATATTATTATATTTTTCTTCATGTTATTATGTTCTACGCTTACGTCAGAATCACTGTCACTACTCGTTTTTCCCATATTTGTAATTATCTGTTTAGTATTAATATTATCTATGTTGATCCATTTGCCACATTTTAAGTTCTACTTTTTCCTTGAAATATACTATCCATTTTATATGTTTTCTGATATCTATTCCATCCACCAAAAGGCTCTTGAAGGAGATTTTTGACGTATACCAATTTGAAAGTAGTATGGGGCTCACAATGAAACGGAAGCAGTCTAAGTACTTCCAAATTGTGATTTCGTACCAGTTTATCAACACAATACTTTTGTTGTATTAAAAACCTTTAGCAAAATTAGTAATTCTGATTTGATGAAGGCGTCCTCAATTTCGAAGCCAATTCTTAATTTAAAGTATTTGTGAGCAGTAATTTTTCCAGTCTTTGGCTACGATATGATGCATTGTCCTGTCCAGGACTGTTTATGAACTTCTCATTAAAAACTACATAATTCGTCTCCTCATGGTAATCACTTGACTTTTTCGAAAAGAAAAGCAGAAGTCTAACATTTACAAAGAAACAATTGCTACTTCTTATATCGACAGCAAAACCTGAAATGTGTTATAAATCCTCATTTTAATTAATTTCAGATTATAGTGCAATCAGTTAGCTAAATGGCATACTATCAATGCATAAATTATAGCTGTGTTCGGGTTCTTCAAAAATACATTGAGAACTATCAGGACTAGTTGACCAGTGGAAAGTTTGATAGTTGTATGCGATAATTTGGAATTCAACTGTTTAACTGGTTCTCGGACGGTTTGCATCGAGTTTTAAAGAAACCCGAACAAACCTAATGTATTATCCTTTTCTGCATTAAATGTTCCAGATTGAAAATAAAAAACCTCCGTAATTGGAGCAGTTGACATTTGTAAACAAAAAAGTGTACCTCCTCTAGTTTGCACAATATAATTCAAATCGACCTAATTTTAGGAAAACTAGTTTGTACCTCTCCTGAAAAATTTCTAAGAATTGGCGTTGCACATTTTTGGGTTTCATCGTCGATATGTAATATTAATATCTCTTTTTCCTGATGGTGTTATCCTGAAAACAATCCTTCCATGAAGCCTTGTCGTTAAAATGTAAACGTTTTTATACTTCTAAACTTTGGAAACTCTAGGACTCTAGGGGGTTCATTTATCCAGATATAAATAATATTATTTCTCTTATTTCGTGCTGTTTTTATTTGGTGTCATCGGCCTCAACTATTAAGGTTATTAGCCTCGTGTTCTGTGCATACTTTGATACTGTTTCTCAGTGCCACTTTAGGAATAACACTTCTAATTAGAACTTAGCAGTGAATGGACGAGTGTGGAATTCTGCTAAACATAAGAATATATTTTTAATTAATTAAATCTATCACCAGCGGGATTTGAACCCGGGACCGGACTC